ATGCTGCATTAACTAAAGATGTACTGTTACATAAAATAAGAAAACTAGGCCTAAACAACTAAGGGATATTTACTAAAATGAGAATTCAAAGTAACTTTCAAATATTATGCCCAGTAGATGAACTAGAAACATACCTGACTGAGAATTTATCCATTTTAGTTATTTTACCTTGAATTTGAAATTCACTTTAAATTCTCAATTTATTGAATAACCCTGTTGGTGTTAGAACACAGGTTCTGAACAAGTAAAGACGACTTAGAACGTTTTATAAAATGGAGTAGTAAGGCGATGTTTTGATAATTAGTTTGCATGTAACTGTTTTGTAAAACCAGTGAAGTGAAATGTATGCTTCTGAAAATGACACTTAACTTCAATTAGAATTTATTATGCCTTTTTCAGACTCAGTGAATTGTTTTCTACATTAAACAAGGAACTTATAGCATATCCTGCCATTTCATGTTACAGAAGTTACTATGCAATCTCATAAAACCCACCAATGTATGTACTCCTCTATATGCTCTGTAATTCACTCAGGCCAATAGGAAATTCATTAAATAGCAATTACTTTGTTTTTACAGTTTAGGAAATCATGCCCTCCCTGTCCTGCATGAGCCAAAAAAAGTCTAATTGTATTACACAATAAGGTTGCCTTGGCTGGAAATTACCGAAATGCTCGGAAATCTCTTTCTCTGTGTTCATGTTTATTATGAACAGTGATTTGTGGGTAACAGATGACAGTTTGACATATGTCTTTAATGCATTCATTCAAACTATTGGCAGAATGTATCAAGCTGGAATGAAGAGTGTTGACAGACCACATTGCTGCTTGGTAAATCTGCCCCCAGACTGTCAGAGAGGATGTGTTGAGCAGAATCCAAACACATGGTATCTTCGCTTTTACCAGCCACACTGGTGATTTCTAGTAAAGAACTGTTGGCTTAATGAACAGCTGAAGGGATAGATAGAATATCCCACCATTCAGCATTTCTTGTTACATTGGTATTCTTGTGAAAAATTTATAGTGCACAATGTTCCACACAACTAACAGTTTTTCACATTGAAAATATTACTAGATGCTGTTAGAATTGCTTCTCACAGGAGATACTACTCTTAATAACTAAACTCGTACATTAGGCTGGATTTTTATACTGAGTGTTAAACTCCGTGCCAATTTAGAAGTTTAAAATAAGTGTAATCACTAAATTCGTTTAAAGTAAGGTATATTAAAGTAAACTAAAACTTACTTATAGATAGTTTTTGTCTATGAGTAACAAAATGTGTTAGGCATGTCATCCTATGGGATTGGCACTGTGCTATTCACTCCTGGCATACCATGGCAACTGTCCAATAAAAGAGTTAGCAGCAAAGGATGGTTCTTATTGGCAGGTGCCAAGCTTTTGTTGTAATAATAATACAAATCTACTGGAGTTAATATGATAATATGATACGTGTGCGACAGAATGGCTGGAAAGGCTGTAGAGGCTGGCTAACTAGTCTGTCCAGATTTTGAGACATGTAAAAAAATGCCCCCTTCTAAATGTCATCCATTGGCTTTGCCTTTGTCCATCAGATCCTGTACACTTGTCTCTCAAATACATCAAAAAGCGTATGGTGTTGGACAGAGCATGATGGCCTATTGGGTCATGGGGGGAGTATATACAGTGTTAAAATCCAAGGGTAGAGTCTAGTACACTGCCATCTTGAAATCTCACTGGTCACCACTGTGAGTTAATTAAGCTTTCCAGGCTACAGACTATGGATTGCTTGTTTGAGGGTTCCTTCTTCTCTCTCTATTTTGAAGAAGATAAATTCTATTACTCTATTATTCTATTAACAAATTCAGATTTAAATAACTATGGAGCAAGTCAGAACAAGTTTTCTTTATCAAATGAATGCATAATGGAAAAAAAACAGCTTTACTATAAATGTTTTTAATAGACAAAAGCACAAGATAAAAAGCAAGACAACTATCTAGGTATTTTGATAACTCCAGGATATAGCCACATAACATAAACAGGTAATTAGGGAGTTAGTTGCTTATTCTTATTGCAAACCAACACAAGCCTTCTAGGGGATAAACTGAAACAGAACATCAAAACATTGAATTTTTTTTCTTATGACTTGCTCGGGAAGAATGGATTATTTATTGCATGAAAATCCATGACTTTAAATTAAACTCAATTTTAGAAATGTATAAATATTACTATTGACTCGTAACTGCTTTTATGTTTTAGCCTTATATTTAAATTCTGCAGTGCTAGACGGTATGATGTTGTTTATTTGAGTTGATGACAAAAACTTGGAAACAGTTTTTAAATAAAAATTCAAATAAATTACCTAAAATTAGAGGGTATGTCCGTATTAATTTAAATATTGTTGTTTTTTTAGACAATGTTTATTGTATGTAAGAGAGCACATATATCTGTAGCTATGTTTTAATTTTCAAATAATTTGGCACATTTTCCTTTTTAATTTATTATATTTTTAATTTTTACATTATGTTTTTGTTGTTTATTTACTGGAATATTACATCATGAAGTATTTGTTTTATGAGTAAATCTCATACATTTAAATATAATAATTCACAATACGTTATAATGCAAACAGAAATTCACTGTGCAAAAAGTATAGTAAATCACATTCATAATTTATATGTTGTGGTTGTTTGAGCTCCAATTTAGAAAAGCAACTAAGTGTATTCAAAAATGTAGCCCCATCGTGTAGCAAGCTTGATTTTTTTTTTTCAATGGCATAAAGAACAATGATCTGGAAGACACGCCATTCAAACATGCAGTGTCTAATATTATCCAGGGAAGAAAACAGCTAAGAGGATTTCGGCCTGGGCACCAGCAGAGGGAGCTATTTGCCAGGCCAATTGGTAAGTATGAAGTATTCCGTGTTCATGCTGTGCGGCCATGTGGAGCATTTGGGCCACACGTCCTGAGGAGGGGAGTAGCGAGGACACGCAAAGCATTCAGCTTACGCGGCACAAAGAGGGGAGGAGCAGGTAAGTACGTTACTCAGTGCTCAGGTGTATTGAGTATTGACATATATTTACTGATTCCTTTATGCTTTTTCTGAAGTCCCCTTTCACATTTCTTAGTGTGTTCTAGTAACATTATTATTAATATTACTTTTATTATTAGTAGTAATAGTAGTAAAACCGCTTGCTATTTAGACTAGTCCTAAAATGTGTGCATCTTGCGCAACACACTTAATTTCATGAATTGGAAGGTAAAGTTAAAATTAGTACCTATCTATGTATAAATTTGCTTAGCTGGTCATATCCAGTAGTTTGTTTGTAGTAAAATGTCACATTGATTATTGTCTGTTTCAGATCTATGTACAGTAACATAGTTTACCACACACAACAAATACATTTATTTTTCTTGTTTTGGCAGGTGAAAAAAAGCTGCTTAGATTACCATGATGGACGAGAGGCTGGATTTCCTGCCCAATGAAGCGGTAGCTACAGCCACTGCATTTTGATTTTATTCACAGATCACATGACAACCGACCAATAGAGAGGAAAAAAAAGAAGTAGCCGTAAACAATTTGTATTTCCAAGCAGAAATTTAGCAGACACTTTAACAGAGAGAGACAGACTAGTGGTGATACTGTGTGTTTTACCCTTGCTGTGCCTGTGTAGGAGTGGGAGAGAGCCTGGCTCATTGATTCTAGTGTGGGACTAGGTTTAGCTTGCTGCTGTATGTAGCTAGCTACTGCAAGGTGCACTTGAAATAACTTTAAGTGGCATATGGCAAAATACTTGACTACCAGTATGCGGTTTTTAAAGTTTTTTTTTTGTTTGTTTACTGTTTGGATAAAGAAAAATTATTTTTTTGGAGAGTGTGGTGTTCAGTAAAAAAAAAAAAAAAAACAAGTTACCCTTGCCTAGCCCTTGTCATTGATCCTCCACCTTCTCCACCACCTCCACGTCCATCTGTACCTGACTAAGAATTACCTCATCTAACAGACAGTTGTGTCATCAGCTGGCACAAGTACCTCACCCACTGTCAAGTTTACCAGCACCACTGACAGCGCCACCATTGATCACCATTGACAATACCCATAACAGCACAACTGTTATCATTAATCAACAAAGTGTTGGTGTTGCAAAAGCTTCCACTGCCACAAATGCAAATCCACATGCATTATCATCTGCCACTAGCTTCCAAGACTGACTTACAAAATGCAAACTGTTTGGCAAGAAAGTGAGAAGGGGGTGAATTAAGGGTCATCTCTCTAGTGCCAGTATGAAGCAAAACCAGCAAAGACATCACATTTGTTATTGAGGGAAGAAGCAAAGCAAGAAAGTACTACCGCAAGCAACAGGTCCAGCTGCAACTTCCAGTGTCACTTACACCCACTTTAATTCACTTATTTAGAATAATTTTACTGATTTGTGATTTACTTTTTTTTAACTTCTAGTAAGAGACAAAGATTGCAGTGTGCTTCTGTGCCGCTGCCTGTGCTTTGGAAAGTTCCCTCAATAATGTACTCAGTGTGTGGCTGCAGTTTACCACAAAAGTGAACCCTACATGTGCAAGGTATTTTTTACCACTTTGTAGAAAAAAATTATTCAAAAATGTAGTGATGGTGGTGCTGAAGGTTACCCCTTCACCCACCTCAAAAATATACATATATAACTCCTGTTACTATTACTGCTCCTTTTCAAATGCCTTTCATTGCAGTGGTTTGGCCTGTCAGATTGAGTCTTATTACCACAGCTGGTATGAGCTGATAGGACACTGTGTTTTTTCCTTGTTGTGCCTAATTGATAAATTCATGAAGCACCAATATCAAAAAGCAATAATCAATTACCCTAAGGTTTTTAAAGATATTGATGGGCACCAAAATCGTTTTCGGGATGAGTGAATTGAGTATTTGAGAAAGGGAAAGACACTGACATCAAGTACTTTTAAATAATCAATACAAACTTTATTGACTAACAGAGACTTAATAAGTAATCATACAGCTTAATATTCAGCTTAATGGAACAGCTCAAAGAAACAGCTTAAGTATACATCACCATAAGAGAGGCTTGCTGCTCTCGACTGAGAGAACTTCTGGCAGTCAGGCTTGAAGGGGACCCTCTCTTACTGGGAAATCATCAGAACCAGCAATACGCGTCCGTATTACAGGTGGGTAGTACTCCAATGAGTGCCAAGTTTTTTCGTCTTTTATAACAAACTTAATAATCAATGGGGTGAATAGTCTGTACTTTTCCACCAAATCAGTGCAGCCCAGCAAAGACCTTGCAAAGGTGTTGGATGGGACCCACCAACAAGTCCATGCCAGATCTGTGTGGTAAATGATCTCTTATCTAAAAGCTAGCTACGTTCTCATAATATTCTCGTGAAGCTATGCATGAGTCATTCTGGTTAAATATATTTTGATGTTGCATGAAACATCACATTTATTGTTTATCATATATCACCCAATGTGTTGTTGAAAAATGTTTTAAGATTCTGTTTTATCAGCATTACATATTTTCATGGTAATTTAACAAAATGCATTGTATTTTGCATGAATGCCTGAGTTTACCATTGGGGTATTACCAGATTAATTCCATGACCCACAACATCAAACACTATCCCTTTTTAATAGGTACAGATGAGCGTTTTTAATCTTTTAAAAATTCGGTGCAAATCCATCAAACCACAGGAGCCCTGTGTTTCCCGGATTTCTTTCCAGTACAAGATCCCTTGAGATGAAAACAGCTTTAAATATGTCAGTTAAATGATTTACCACAAGTTGCATGACTGTTTTATAGATAATTAGTAGAAATAATAGGAGGGGATGCCATTATAAAGTTTTTGAATGCTTTTATTTTTTACTTTTTCAGATTTTCTGTAGTTTTGCAAGTTAAGGGGTTTCAACTTTGAAATACAAAAAACATCTTTGAAAAAAAGGATTTATTTTATGTTATGCTAGTGCATTTAAATGAAAATTAAAAAATAATAGATCAATCCCATAATTAACTAAATCAGTGTGTGAGCACGCTTCTAAGCTCATGCTTCCTTTGACTAATAGGCAAACCTATAGCATATTTTAGTAAATCACATCTAAATCTATGGAATAGAGAAAACTCAGATGTTTCCTGGTTCTGAAAATCTTTGTAAAACAAACTGTCTATAAATAGCATATTTCAATTCAAATCAACAATACAGTATATTATAAAGTATAATTACCTTTGTTCACTTAATGGTGTATAGTTATGTACTTTATCTCTTTGTTCACTCCCTTCGTTATGACTTGCTTGTTAGCAGATCTCATATCATAGGTCATAATCATTCCATAATTTGACCTATTCTGCAATAACAACCGTTTTTGTTTTTTTTTAAATAATGTGTCATTCTTTAAATCTTTAATGTTTAGGACTTTATGATTGGAGGCCTCCAAATAGAGTTTGTGTGGCTCTATGTAATAACTTGCCTGATTTTCCCCCAGTTTATTTCACCCAGTCTAATTTATATACATCCCTCCAAGGAAGTCTTCTTTTCATGGTATATCAACTCATCAGTGTTGAATATGTTTGTCTAATAATATAGCCTGTCAAAGCCAAGCTGCAATACAGTGTAGTTAATTTTATTTAAGTGGAAAAGGCTGTTCTGTTTGGCTTTTCCCTCCCATCTAAAAAGTAAATTAAAAACAAATCTCTAATGTTGGGTTTCTCATGCTCTCACAGTAGGTGAAAGCAGATCGAGAAACTAATTGAACCAGTGTCCTTATTATGCCCTAAATGTGTGGTGGGTGATGTCAACTATGCACTGTTCTCAGTAATGTTTTGTTTGGCTGACACCATGCAATAGGGGGCATGTAAACTCAAGACAGTTTAGGACATGTCCCATCCTTTTCGAGATTAGTGGGAGATGTAACGGACACCTCCGACAGCGGATCCGGGCCATACCTGGTTAGCCGCCTCTTGACTTCATTAAAGTAAGCAGTGCCCTCATAGCGATATGTCATGTTTGCTTGGCCCCCACTCTGGGCCACTAGCGCTCCGATCCGCACCTTTTGAATTACTCTGTAGACAGGGGCGCTGCACGAGTGCTGGCATTGCCCTCAATTGTAGCTCCATACCGATGTCTCCGAGCTGCTTCTCCTTGCACTAGGACGCCATCCCGCCGCTATCACCAAATGTGACGGACCGCTGGCACTCCGACCGAGTAAATCTTCCAATCGATGCTCCTAGTGCTTATCGAGGACTCCAAGCACTCCACCAAACACCATAAGCTCTGCAGACCCCACTTCCAGTGATGCAGCTGCGCCGGGGTCTCGTCGTCCTCCACCCTCCCTGGACCCAAGACCAGGATCCAGCTTCCAGTGGGTAAATCTCTCTTACTCCAGAGAGCATATCAGGAACAAGCTCTTACAAGAGCCTATACTCAGGGGAGTATTGTGATTATAGCAATCCCCAAGAGTGTAGTTATCACATCCCCCAAACAGCCAAGGCTTCAAGAAGGGGTCAAGCAGGTCTCTCCAAAAGCCAGTGGGAAAGTGCAATTCGTCACAGGAGATATGAGTTACAAGTTTTTGCAGAGTTTATATAATCCCTACTTGAAGTTGAAAATATATATCAAAGTTATATCACTACATTTATAACCCCTATTAGAAGTTAAAAATAGATATCCAAGTTATATCACTACATGGAACCAAGGGTGATCTATAAAATTCCTGTTTAAATAGAATCAAAAATGAAATAAATAAATAAACCATAAGAAAATGATGTTCTAGTCTAGTGCAAAGGTTATAAAGGCAAGGGAAAGGAAATGTATACATGATCATTTAGCATAGCAATGCTATCAGTAAGTTTAAACTCCTTTGTAAAAAAACAAGGTATGATCCTTTAATTTCAGGAGTTAGAAAGGGAAGAAAACCTGCTAACAGCTTAATTTATATGCTTTCCTGAAGAAGTGTATTTTCAAAGATTTTTTGAAGGATTGGAGACTGGGTGAAAGTCTGACAGGGAAGGGAGTTCCACAGAAAAGGTTCAGCACTGGAGAAGTCTTGAAGGCGAGCATCAGATGTGGGAGCATGGACAGAGGATAGATGTAGGTCTTTGGCAGAGTGCAGGGGCCTCGATGGGACATAATTGTGTGTTAGGGAGGATGAGTAGGTTGAAGCAGCATTATGTAGGGACTTGTAAGCAAGCACCAGAATCTTAAGTTGAACCCTATATCTAACTAAAAGCCAATGTAGGGACTGACAAAGGGGGAGGTGTGGGAGGTGCGGGCTGACAGGAAAATGAACCTCACCGCCGCAATTATTAATATTAGCAGCGGTGCAAGCTGGGAACACGTAAGACCACTAAGAAGGGGATTGCAGTAGTCAAGGAGAGAGAGAACAACTGGATAGACCAGCACATTAGCCGCATCTGGTGTTAAATAGGGGCGAATGCGAGCCATGTTTTTGAGATGAAAGCAGCAGGATTTGGCAATCGACTGGACATGAGGGGTGAAGGAGAGCTCGGAGTCAAAGAGAACACCTAGGCAGCGAGCCTGAATAATGTTTTATCTCACCTCTTCCCCTTTCTGTGGAGCAATGAAGCGTAGTACATGTGTGTGATATTGTTCTTCTACCATTATATGAGATTCCTTATACACCCAGTTATCCGACCTTTAGAATACACTTGGCAAGAGGTTATGGGCCCGGAAGGGATGCAGGAAACTGATGGAGCAGACTTGCTTTGACAGAGATGAAAAGAATTACAAACTATGGAAGACAAAGTTACAGGGGCATCTATAGTTAATTAATCTCAAAGAAACAATCCTAAGTGAGCAGGCAAACGCCAAAGATGAGGAAGTGGATTGGTTATAAAAATGAGGATGCATACTCTGATAATTAGTTAGTTTTTGATAATAAAGGAAGCAGCAGCTATTTAATGAAAAGTGCTCCAGATATTGAGAGATTAATATGCAGGCAAAGGGGAGTCTCGGATAATTAGTTTGTACACTGAGGTAACGTCTATTCAGAAGGATTCAAATGAGAGTGTGATAGACTATATTATACATGCAGGTACAACCATTACCACACTGAGAGAAGCTGGAAAATTCTTGCATGATGGATTACTATCTTAGCAGCCAACTTTTCTACCCTATCCTTGCCTTTTGTGCCACTATACCCCACTCCCTCAATCCCTCTCTGTTCCTGTGTGTCCAACTAGTCTGGTTACAAATACGTGTCTGTTAGCCCACCCATTGTACAGCGCTGCAGAATTTTTGGGCGTTTTATAAATAATAATAATTGTAATAAGTACTGCTTGTGATAATTTTGCAAGGTTTGCCTGAATCTGTAAATCATTTACCAGGGTGATGGAGAAGTCACTTTACCAGAGTTTTATACACAGTTGAGTTGAAAATACTGCATTAGCCCAAATGTCGTTAGTGTTGAAGTAGATGACACAACTGTTAGATTAAAAGTGAGATATGATTCTAACATTATTTGTTACAATTGTGTGCAAAGGGGACATAGGTCCAGAGAGTTAAATAGTCAAAATGAAGGCCAGTCACTGTGGTGTAGCTTGACACTTAAATATACAAACTGTAGGCACAAAATGAAGGACACTCAAAATTGAGACAAATAATAGTGATATACACTTGTATGTTTTTATAAAAAGAGATGGCAAGCTAGATGGGTTTGTACCAAAAGGGCTAATAGTTGACACAGAGGCAACCTCCCATACAATTACTAACACTGGAAAATTTAAGAGCTTTGCTGACACATTTATACCAGAGAGCTTGTAGATGAGAAAAAGACAGCCAGTGTGGCACTGAGAGGATTCGATGTGGAGATTTGTGTACTTGACAGCAAAAGAAATGGAGTGTTTATAACCCTGAAGAAAGCACTATATACGCCAGGTATCTTCAACATGTCTTTTCTGTAGAGGCAGTGACAAATAATGATGCATCAGTCAGCTTTCAACAAGGTAAAAATGAACATACTTATAAGTATGGCAACAAATACGTAACTCAGATATATAATAGACTTTACTATTTAAATACTTTTGTTTAAAATGATGAGAGCTACCATGGATATCATGGTGTGAGGAGCGCCTGTACTCTGACCAAGTACCTCCATCCAATCTGCTTCCTAGCCGCTTACAGGGACCCTGGAATGCTTCCGGAGCTCATCCACCAGACCAGGCAGGACTCTCCTTCCAAGCAGGTATTATCCCCTCTGCATATTCCTCTGCAGCTTTCCTTGTGAATACTCTTGCCTTTACA